ACAAGATCAGAAAAACTCAACAGTTCCAAGATTCATGACCTATTTCTAGGACAACGAAAGGCCAGGGTGGGGAGGAGTTTTACAGGATGTGTTTATTAGAGTGTGCAATGGACTGCTCTTTCTAAGGGTAGTGTGGTAGAGGGATGTGCAGTAAGAAAAACAAGCCTTGGAGAGTGGAGGTCATTAAGGAAGTGTCTATTAACATCTCAGGCTTAATTCATTATTGCTTCAATAGATGCTAAACACGTAATGCAAAAGGCTCCAGATTTCAAATTTTCCGTAGTAGGTCTTATAAAAATGGAATTTAGAAACATAATAAGTAAGCAATACCAGGATTGGTCAAATGCCAAAGATAATATTAAAGCAGTGTTTCAAGTTTTAAAGTATTCAATTAGTTTTCAACACAAATATAAACCATTTTAGTCATTATCAACCAGCATTATAATTTCTATTTAAACTGAAAAAAAAAATCCTTCTCTGGCTTATTTTTATCTGTAATAATTTATTTGCCATGTTTTCTTCCAATAAAGAGTCAACATTGAACTTCAGAACCAAAACGATAAGGATGATTTTTTTTTAAAAGTTGTAAAAAAGAGATCAAAACAAATGATGTGTTTATGTAACATAAAAATAAAACAGGTTACTAGATGAACAAGAAATTACAGTTTTCACCTTATAGCAAAAAGGAAAGAAAGAAAGAGAAAGAAAATTATTAGTTAGTTTCAGTTTGTTCATTCTAGATCAACCATGATGCATTTTCAAAATAAACAATATTGTATAGGTCCAATACCTGATACCAGGTAATCATACAGGCATATGTGTATCGAAAAGAACCTTAAATTTGAATCAATATATAAAATTCTATATCCATGTATCAAAATAACATTATTTTTGTATCAATATATAGAATTTTATAACATTGATTTAAAAATATTTGAAAATAACAATAGTTATATAGTTGAAGAGATTTACTAATGTATCCTTTTCTCTAAATATTTATATTTAGAATATAAATATTTCTATATCATATTCCTATGTTCCTCCTTGTGCTTCTTTTTATTATACTGATGTTTTTTTTTTATTTTTTTCATTTTACATCCTGATTCCAGCCCCTCCCTCTTCTTCTCCCTGTCCTGTTCTCTCACCCTCTTCTCCCTTTCCCCCCTTTCCTTCTCCTCAAAAAAGGGCTTCCTCCCCCACCTCCTCCTGTACCAACCCACCCTGGCACATCAAGTCATAAGTCATGTCAAGACCAAGCAAATCCTCCTCCACTGAGGCCAGACAAGGCAATTGAGGTATTGGACTTACAAGTCATTTACAAAGGTAAGGTTTACTTCCACTCCTTTTAAAAGCTGCTATTACAAACTGTTTAGGATAATTAACTTATATAAGTTAATGGTCAATTAATCAAACCTATGGTCATGTGAGATACTAGTCTAGTTTATCATAGAAATACACATCCTAAGTTGAACAGATAGTAAATATCTAGAAGCAAGCAATGTTGCTTATTCAGACTTGCTAGAAAGTCACAGACACATGGACAGACAGATATGATTAAATGCTCTGTAAATATAAAGGTAAATAGATAGATAAATGGCCTTCAAAAAATTCAGAGACCTACAGGATATGGCATTTAAAGATGTTTTTATTAACTTGAGGCCTTTTTGACTTGACACATGTCAGCTCGTGGTAACACCCCCAGCCTACCTCAACGAAGTTGATGAGCATCATAAAAATCTCCTTTTGGAGATAGCCTCATTAATGACAATCTAGCCACTTTGCAAAAATGGCCCAGCTCTCTCTAAAGACAATATACTCTCCAAAATGGACAAGATTTAGACACAGGCTGAGATGACTCTGCCATGACAGGGTAAGCAACTCCTTCATATTTCCTGCTTCACAATTATGTCTGCCAGATGTACTGGACCAGAAGGCTGAAGATGATGCTGTAACATTACAGAGGGTGGCTGACCAGGCAGTAAACTGTCTCTGTCTCTGTCTCTTAGTTTTGGAAGCTGCTTGCCTGCACTTCCTACTTAAGTAATAATTTTATTCCTTCTCAAGTCTCTGATGGGGTTGAAGACTGGGTGGTTATAGTGTCATAGGTTTAAGTTGCTTAGGATTTAAGAAAATGTTTTAATATCTAGAAAGATGTTTTGTTTTGTTGTTTTTTTTAATCAATAAATTAAAAAAAATGGAAGAAAATGACTTGGGTACAAAACTTTATTTAGTCTTACCTAGATAAGATAGGTAATATTTTCTTCAAGGTTGCTAAATACAAATGAGCTAAACATTTTAAATTTAACTTTTACACATGGCTTTCCTGGCTGTTTCATACCTGCTCTTATTGTGTGTAGTTTAATATAAATAAATAAAATCCATATGTATTTGGAAAAAGAAGAAAATAAAACAAAATAAACAATGTTAAAAAACATAAATGGAACCTATTCACAAACTCATGGATGGCAGATTTTCTAACAAATACAAAAACCACTGATTATAAGGAGAGTACTGGCTGTTCTTTCCAAGGACCTAGGTTCAATTCCCAGCACCTGCATGTTAATCTATAACTCCAGTTCCCGGGGATATGACACCCTTGTACAGGCACGCATGCAGGCAAAACACAATGCATGTAAAATAAAAATAAATAAATCTTTAAAAATGTTAACATTAACCTTAAGAAAATATATGGATTAGTTCAGCCTTAAAATAAAGGACTACTAAACAGGGCACTGACCTTGTAGGCATTAAGACCAACAATTGACAAATGGAACCTCATGAAACTAAAAAATTTCTGTACAGCAAAGGACACCAACATTCAATTGAAGAGAATGAAAAATATTCTTTACCAGCTATACATCTGACAGTTAGTGACAAAACAAAGGAGCAAAACCCAGAAAACTAAACTAAACAAACAAACAAACAAACCAATAAAACCCCAAAATTAAATACCATGAAAACAAACAACCCAATTAAAATAACAGGGCATGGAATTTAACAGATAGTTCTCAAAAGAATGAATAAAATAGCTATGAAATATTTTAAATGTTCATCTTTACCAATCAGGGAAGTACGAATTAAAACAACTTTGAGACTTCATCTTCCTCCAGTCAAAATGGCTACCTAAGCTTAAAAAGTGCTGGAGTGGAAGTGAGAGAACAGAAACCCTATTCACTGTTGGTGGCAATGCAAACGGGTACAGCCACAATAGAAATCAGTGTAGAGGTTCCTCAAAAAGCAAGGAAGACATTTGTCACATCCAGGCATATCACTCCTGGGCATATTCCCAGCAGACTCTCTATCCTACTACAGAGACATCAGCTCATCCATGTTCAAGGCTGCTTCATTTACAACAGGCAGATTATGGAAACAGCTTGTATGTCCCTCAAATTATTTTGCACCCTTTCAAAAATTATGCATACAGCCAGGCAGTAGTGGAAGACACCTTTAATCCCAGCAGACACAGAGATTAAATTTAGAGGCAGAGACAGGCAGATCTCTGAGTTCAAGTTCAGCCTGGTCTAGAGCAAATTCTAGGACAGCCAAAGCTACATGGAGAACTCCTGTCTAGAACACCCCCTCCACCACCCCGTGCCAATCCAAAGAGTATGGGTATGGTGACAGACACCTGCCATCATCCCTAGGAAACGGCGGTTGAGATGAGTGTAGCATGAACACTATATACTGGATCAGCAGAGCTATATAAAAAGACCCAGCCTCAATAACAACCCCCCCCCAAATTATACATCAATCAATTACAGTGATTCTGCGTGATTTTTGGCCTCATTCAAAGATGCTTACTTTATTTCCATTTAGAGTTGTTCCAGCTGCTGGTTTGACATGGCCCATCTGTTTGGACGTCCCTGCATAAGTCTGTGCCACACGCTAGCTCTCTCTTGTACCTCGAATGGCCCACCGTGTAAAATCCATAGCAGAGTAACTTTTGTTTTCAACTTAAATATGTACAGCAACAGTACAGAAAACTCACTGGACCTCAAACCATCACTCATAGCATAGCCTAAAAAGTTTAAATATCATGCAAGCATTTATACTGTCTAAAAAAAAAAAAAAAAAATCAAACAAGCAAACTTTCATTATATTACTGGGTAATTTTCATGTATGTAATGCCATAGTTCTAGTGAATCGAAATACTGACTTTGTAAACTACACACTGTAGATATAAATAATAAAAGTATACATATTTCAGGAATGTTCTAAGTAAGAAGGTATGCAGAAAGTGGTCTATGTGTCCTTCAGCATGAGCGCTTTTAGGATAATTAGAGACAAGCACAGCCAAGCATACGGCAGCAATATGTGCAGCCAGAGAAGCCACTGACCTGCTACCTGCCGTAACGGGAAAAAACCATGTAATGCACAGCCAGGGACACTAACTCGGGTTAATATTAAGAAAGGGGACACAGTTCATAAAAACCCAACAGCAAGTCATCTGGACAAAGCAGGGACTAAATTCTGTCTTGGGTTCTTTGTACAGAGAAGACAATTCATGTCACTCCAGGCTCATCTCTTCCCAAAAGTGGTAGCATTACTTTGGTTACTTCCCAGTGATGTTTCGTTCTGTCAGAAAGATCCTATGTTGGCCACATTCCCAATGTCCACCTTCTGATTTTGTCTAGTAAGTACATCTCTACAAGTTGATGTGAATTTTTCTATATCCCATCTCTGGACCACAAAACTAATACTAGTGCCTTACGAGGTAGATAAAGTTAAATAAGACAGACTTCTGCCTTGATAGAGATGAGAGAGCATGAAATCAATGTTTGAGTACGACTGCCACCACCCATACTCGGGGCGCGGCCACAGTCCAGGCATTCTCAAGAGGCGTACAGAAACCTCTGCTGCCTCCGCGAACATTCACAACAGCAGGCGGCCCTCCTTAGAGGTGTACCAAGCCCGGCAGCCCTCTGCCCACTGCTGCAGGACAGCCAACAGGGAGATGGGGCTTGACAAGAAAAGCCAGTCTAAACTGGTTAATGACTTACCTCGTCACGTACGGGCCGAGCTGCTCCTTTAACGTTTGGTTTCCTCTCTTGTCATAGCTCAGCACCAAATGGTTGTGATTCAGCCAAAGCGTGAACCTGACAGAAAGAAATTTCTTTTCAGAACAAACATTCGAAATTAAAGTTCCCTCCACTGTTGTCTTCCTTGCCTGGCTCTCTGTGTGCGCCTGTTTCTCTGTGTCTCTCTGCAAGGCAGCTACGTAGTGGTCTATAAATATTGACCTCACACTTGCTCAGAGTTCTCCTTGCTCATGGCACAGGTCTGTGTTACTGAACACCGTGGTAATACTCCGGCGAGGTTCTCAGCTGCTCGGACAAAGCAGTGAATTGGCTCACTACCCAGCAACTCTGTGCTTGCCTGGAAATACCATTTCGCTGCCAGCTTTACAGATGCTACGGGCCTTTCCTGAGCCCCAAATCGGGCACAGAGGGGCAATTATGAGTCTTGTCTGAAGAAATACAGCTTTCCTCAAGCAGGTGGAGAGAAGAGGGCTAGGAGGAGGGGAAGACAAGGAAGGAAATACTGCCTTTTCTTTGTTCAAACAACGCCATCTCAAACCTTTATAAAATTTCTACCTAAATGCCACTCAATTAAGCCTTGCAAAACTTGGTTATACATATTATGAATGACCTAAACCATAAAAAGCAGTCTTATAATTGTTTTAATACTGTTTCTTATGTTAAAAAAATGCTGCAGGGAATGAGCAATTGGCCACAGAGAGACTTTATTTTTTGATATATGTTCACTTGCAGAATGATAGAAATGCATTGGAATGTATAATATTAAATAGATAAATTATGTATTTGGTGAAAGAAGCTAAAATGTAATCTAAACATTATGTGAATCAACATGTTATATTAACTTGTAGATTTACAGTCCTGACAATTTGAATTATATTACTTTGAACTCTTAGATTAAGGATAAAGTAAGCTATCCCAATATGTAGATTGTGGGCAACATACATTTCCTATTATCTATATTGCATAACATTTACATTATAAATGATTAGAAAATATATCATTCTGAATTTTCATGCTTTTGCCAATAATAATCACTTGTTTGCTTTATTAAATGGTACCCCTTGATTAAATCAGATGAAGGAATATTTGGAAGTAGTGTGGTGCTGGATCTTAGAGAACACCCTCAGCTAGGCTCTTAGTTTACCCAGGGCCATGTGACAATGTAGTAGCAGAGCCAAAAACCAAACCACAGCCTATCCTTACTGCTTAGATACAGGGCAACTTCCCCCAGGACCGTGATGCTCAGAACCTATCTTTATCTTCATCTTCATACGGAAACTTGCTGAAAGTCTTGCCCAGAAGAAAATACATTCACACACACACACACACACACACACACACACACACACACACACACACCTTTAATCCCAGTACTCGGGAGGCAGAGGAAGGCAGAGGAAGGCATATCTCTGGGAGTTTGAGGCCATCATGGACCACATGGTGAGTTCCAGGACAGCTAGTGTGAGCTACACAGTGACAAGAAACAAAAACAAAAACAAAATCTAAACAAAAGTTCACAGGCACAACATTAATGTAAAAGAGAAAATTTGTGGTAAGCAAAATGCCTAAAATTGTTAGGTACACTTAGGCTTCAAAAGATCTTCTATGCTTAATTCAGTAATTTTCATGAAGTTAGCTCACTGCTGGGAGAGACGTACAGCTAGATACTGATGAGGCGATAGCCCTACTCTCAAAGACCTTATACTCTAAGTTGAAGGAACGGCTAATTGCTAGACAGTGCATTCGTTAGACGATGAAGAGGAGAGGAAGACAGTGAGGAGACAGGAGCAAGCAGCATCTCAGGCAGCACGCAATCCAACAGGTGCTGGTCAAGTGAGACTCTGGCAAGGTTCCTGAGGCACACAGACAGGGAACAGGGTGAAGAAGGGCAGGAAAGGAACGGCACGCACGTGCACCTGCACACAGATCCTTCTGGCTGTGGCACAGACAGATAAGACAAAACACTGCCGTAGAGAAAGAAGCGTGGACTTTAAAGGTTCCGTTAACAAACTCAGCAGGCTATCAGGCTCCAGATACTTTTCACAAAGGAAAGAATCTGAAACATTCTGTAATCAGCACACAATCACACAAGCTTATTGTCTATAATTTTCAGCAGTAACAGCATGAGTACATGTGAAAAACTGATTTTGTACTGTTTGAGAAATTATATTTTGAAAATAAAATTCAGCAACAATACATGCTCAATCCACTGACATTTAAAATAAGCACTCTCTGCTTAGAAATATAAACATCCATTTAACAGTTGAAAATTGTTTTGTATTTTATTTTATTGAAATTTTACCAATCTAATTTCTTCATGGAATTTTTCTGAAATACAAATACCAAAAAGTTTTTAATTGTTTTTTCATGTTTCTTCAATAAATTTTTAGTTATTAACTATTCTATGACTGGTACACACACCATTACACCGTAGCATGATTTACGATGAATGAGGGTGTGGGTTTTTTTTTTTTTCCAGGAGAAATGCTGCCATTAATAAAGCATTCTCTTAGCAAGATCAGTTCCAACAGAGTACAAGTAGATGTTGAGAAGGTAGACACTCCAGTGAAACTATCCATTCAGCTGCCAAGTGAAAAGAACTAGTGTTAAAAGGCTCCTCAGCCTGTGATTCCAGCTGCATGACATTTGGGAACAGGAAACAGTTCCATGGGTTACAGGCTTTGGGGTGAGGTGGGGACAAAGGACACCAAGGAGGATTCTCATGGAAGCACAGCCACTTGGGATGATGTAATGGCAGCATGATGTCATACATGTAGCAGATGTACAGAATTATACAGCACAAAGAATGAGGCCCTGGGATGTGGGGATGGCTCACCCCTTGCTATTCTTGCAGATGATGAGACTTTGGCTCACAAAACCCAGTTCTGATAGCTTATAATTACCTATAACTCCAGCTCCAGGGGGATCCAACATTGCTGGCCTCCAGAAGCATTTGTAGTCACATGCACACACACATACATACATGCAATCTTTTAAATTATTTGAATAAAAGAATGAACTCTCATGCACAGTATGAAGAGTATGAAGCCTCTTCTCTGTCTTGCTGAAGTACGTGGCGCAGAGGTGATATTGTTTATCATGCAATTTTTTGTCTAACACGGGGTTTCAAAATATTCTAACATGAAAAGCAACCCCGAATGACTTTGCTTTTTTATGATAAAGAAAATAAAGCTAAGTTATTAATGGCTTGACAGAAGTCCCGTAACAAAACAGGCATAGCACTGGGATTTGAACTGCAGGCTATGACTGGACTATAGTACCACACCACCTTGGCATCAGTTGTTTAATTAAGAACAGATACCACTCAGGCCAGGAAAAGCCGGCAATGTGAAAGGAAGGACCAAATGAGCCTTCTGAACTTCTCTCAGAAAGTAAAGAGAATTTTAATATTGAGTACTGAAAGGTGGCAAAAAGAAGGAGCTAGCAGATTAGAGGGTGGCATTAAAGACCTCAAATGCCTGTTCTTTAACTTGGCAAATGGGTAAAGAGTCTCTGAAAAGTCAAGGCTGGCTCTTCTTGGCTTTGCCAATCTAGGTTACAAGAAAAGGATCAACTTTATGACAGGGCCCTGGGAAGAAGAGGTAATTCTAGTTTCTAACATGATGAACTTGATACGGTTGGCTCATAGTGAACACGTTTAGTAGGTGTTTAAACATGCTGATCTATGATACAGAAAAACATCTGTTCTTTTGCTATTCAAACACTATCAGCATATAATCACCATACAGAAGACATACAAACTACTTAAAATACCACCCAGCTCATATTCATCTTCTGCTAAACATCTGCTTTCTCCTTTTTACTCTCCTGTAAACCTGCTTGATCTTCTCCATCATTATGCCTCACACAGTAGCAATGAAAACCTGTCTCTGTCTCAGCTGCAACTCACCCCACTGTATTTTCCTAACATGACTTTCCCTTGAAAAAAGTTTCCCTTGATAAACTCCTCCTTGCATTCACCTTTTTGGATGTTCCTCATACAGGTGCCTTCTCGCAAAGCCCAGGGAGTGCTGCTTTGTTATATAATAAATGCACAGAATGTGCCGGATGCATGGCTGAAAAAGACAGTGTCTAGCTGTAAATGAACACAGCCATGAGCTCCCTCGGTGGCAGCAGGCCTGAGAAGTGAGCCAAAGTCAGCATCCACATGTATTGAAAGCTAAGGAGAATGCAAAAGGGGCTCATGTGGAGTTTGAGTGCTAGAGAGAGAGAGAGAGAGAGGTCAGTAATGCCAAGTGCTTTGGAAAAATCCAGCATGGCAGGAACTGAAGAAGCCCATCACAGGAGGCAGAGGTGTTCTTGGCCCTGAAGCAACTAGCATGTGCAATGTAAAAGCATCAACACGCTATACAAGTTGTCATCTGTGAAGAAGATAAAAAAGAGAAAGCACTGGTGACTAAGCTGTTTCCCCAGGGATGGGAAGGCAACATGTAAAATTAGATAAGAGCAAAATTATCCTTTCACAAGCCTTATGCACATATAAGAGAGAGCAAGATGGGGTGATGCTTTCGAGCAACAAACAAGCAAAGCAACAGAAGCAGAACTTTCTACAGGGGAGGTGTCAAGTCTGTGCTCATTTCTCAAGGTTGGATACATGCCTCTGCTTCTTCATTATTAAACTGCAATTAACATAGCATCAGAGTCAGATCATTTCAATTTGTTATAAAATAGTCTTTCATTATGCAGATATGTCAAGGTTTACATACCCATTCCTTAGCTGATGGACTCTTGAGTTGGATTCCATTTGGGGAACATTATGAATAAGAATGCTATGAACATTCATGTACATGTTTTCCTTGAACTTATATTTTTATTAATATTTGGTAAATACCAATGAGTAGAATGAATTGCTTGTGAATAAATTCATTTTGTATTCTAACATTTTTTAAATGTGTCAAATTGCCTTCAAGGTAGGCTGTATCATTTCACAGCATGATCAGCAACACAGAAAGGTGTGAATTTCTCTATGTCCTTAGATCTATAATTATCTCTCTTTTTCCATAGTGGAACTAGTACATTTGAAGTTCAATATCATT